CCCCCCCCCCCCCCCCCCCCCCCCAAGCACCCACGGGGCTCCACCAAAGAAAACCACTCTTCTTTTCGACCACATATACGGATTTCAATACGGCTTGCTTGTGATAGTGCAAATGATGCGCCTACACTATGACTATACTTCAATTTTCCCTTAAAAGTGCTCCTCCGGGGTTCGCCTATCGTCTCCGAGGTTCGCCTATTTAATGTTTCAATTCCCTTAAATGTCTTTTTTTTTTTTTTGAATGTGCAACGTTCGCCTATTTTTTTGTAAACGCCCAAGAAAAGACAAACAAATACGCCTACCGAGCACAAACCTATCGGTCACGTTGACTGACGCACGTTCAACCGCTGTCATAGTTCTCGTGGGCTCCCCGTCTACGTCAGCCACACGTGTTTCATGCTGCCGCTCTCGTTTTTCAACTCTCTCACGGTGCTACCAAGCAGGCGATATGACGTACGCCGGGGTATCTACCTCTCGCGCACGCTGTGATGGGGCCTTCCGCACGCACCACGACAATCTCACGACTATTCAAGAAAACTCGCATTTTATAAATCTCACCGCGAACGGGGCCGGTTACGTTCTCCGCATCGGCACCCTCTCGTCCCATCGTCGTCGTCGACGGCACCTTCGAGGGCTCATTCCCCTCCACCACCACCAAGCGTTGGGCGGCGGCCTCTGGAGTTGCCTCGGGAAACTGTCGATGATGGCGGAGGGCGAGGCGTCCAGAATCAAAGGTGAAGTACTTCGAAAATCACCAGCGCAGCGGATGAATCATATCCATATTCGCATGCGGGGGGGGGGGGGTACTCATAGTCGTGCATGCCGTAGTCGTTAGACCATTGACCTCGCATCCCTACAAAGCCGGGACGGAGCACGCCGGGTTCTCACCGGACCAGGCTCTCACATCACCAAGCGCGAAGCGCCGTGAGATATTCGGCGAGTCGCATGAAGGGTGCGCTGCATCCTGCTAAGGGTGTTCGGCATCTTGTGCTTACTTCCTTGCGTACGGATGACAGCTGCGTATGAATTAATTTATTTTCTGGTGCTTTCACTTCCAGAGACAGTTGTAAGCACTGTGTAACTGCCTCGAGGGTGCTTGACCATTTTAACACAACGTGGTGCGATCATCCCCCTTGCGCGGAGTGAGGGTTCTCGACCCCGCACAACATGATCTACTCGACCACCATTATGATTACCGCCAAAAAAAAAACGGAGGTAAAAAAAAAACGGTAACCTGGTTGCCGAGTTCACGGAGTGAATTGGCTTGTTTTACAACGTCGTTGCCAAGCGACAAAAACCCAATCCCGATGGCAAACACCGGGGGGGGCGGCTTGTTTTACAACGTCGTTCCCAAGCGACGAAAACCCAACCCCGATGGCAAACACCGGGGGGGAGTGGGGGTGCTTTGGAGCCTGTTGCTTGCGCGAGACGACGCCAGGTGAAATACACAAAGCAATATGTAGCAGGTCGAGTCAAGAGATATGCCCAAGCACGACCGGTTTCGGGTAGAGTCGGCACGTGTTAGAAGTTCCATGAGGTAGTTGCCTTAGGAGAGGAACGGTGAGCTGCATCCCAAGAACCTCTTGAAAACAAGGCTGGTTCCACTCAGTTCTGCTTGCTCGTACACCGCGGAGTTTGCGCTATGAACACCTTCACGACGAACGCTTCTCGAGGCGTGTGCTCAGAGTAAGCGACGTCCTGAACACGCGCCCGTTTTATCTTGCTTTTTTGAGTCTGGCTAGTGTTTCGCTTTGCAGGGTGTGGATACAACCACATGGGTCTTGCCGTGCCGAGGAACGGATCTAAGCCAACCCAACGGTAACACGGCAAAGCAATACACGTATTTATGCGGGTCACGCGCACACACCTTGACCGTCGACAAATGCAACTCCCGTTCCGAACGTAGCTGCTCCAGCTCCTTCTGCGCTGCGTGGAACCGACCGAGGATATCGCCAACGGCCAGGTCGTGCCTCGTCTCCTTTTCCTCCAGCTCATCGCGTAGATGATCGTTCAGGGCCGTCAATATGGCCAACTGCACATATGGTGATTATGCATAGATGGGTGCCGACAGACTGAACGTAGCGTGGGTATGTATTTGTACGAGCTGGCTACGCTTAAATTACTACAAGTAGGTTCGCACATATGTGGGTTTGCAGGATACACGACGATTGGCGGTTGGGTATGGCGGGCCTAACAAGAAAACTCGAGCAATGCGAGAAAGCGTCTCCACCAACATCTTGTTGTACATGCAGCGATAGGGAGCCCAACGCACCACTTTCAACAAGCGTGTCTGTTCGGAACATGCGATTGGATCGCCTAAACTATTTTCACAACCGATTGCCCGATCTAGTAATTCGCCGAATCCGCCGCGCGGTCACTCATTGTTGGCGAAAATATCCATATGACCTTGACGGCCAAGAATTTACGGATGCGCTCAACGAAAAGATTGTCAAGCTTCAAGTTTCACGAGCATAGTGTCTACGTCGTTGATGCAGCAAAGAAGATCTCTCTATTGTGGACGACGGCACAACACGATGTTGTCTTACTTGATCTTCGATGGGCCAAGCGGCCACGTCAACATCTAGGTTGGCCACGCCAGAGTCCAGGAAAACCGCTGCCTCCCACCCTCCGAGTGCCTCAACAACCCCGTGGAGCACGGCCTAGCAGGTGGATCGATTTTGGTTTGGAAAGAGGGGGGTGCAAGGGCACGAGGTCTCATTCCCCATGCTTAGGCGGTGCGATACGAAACATGGTGATCCACGGCCATGCACTGCTGAAAGATGCGCAACGCAATCGTCACCATTTCACAATTCAGCCACAACTCATCTCAACATTACGAAGTAACGCGACGGAAGTGACCCCGTCGGACAATTAGTCTATCGCTCATTCTTCACAACTAGAACCAATGCTGTTATTCTGAGAAAGGCCGAATGATGAAATCCGGCAAAAACACAACCCCGTTTCAACCCCAGCGGGGACACCTTCTCGGTCTGAAGCAGCGTCGCCCTGTCCTGCCTCGCTTGCTGCGACTCCTTGAGACCGCCACCGCGCTTGCTGCTCTTGTCTCTGCCGGGTTCCAGCACCGCGTTCGTCCACGCCGAGATCGTCCGGTGCTTGGCTGCGGTCTTGGTCACCTCTACCAATAGAGCTTGGGCCGCCTGTCGGACAGCGTGGGGGTGTGGCTTTATGTCCGGAGCAGCAGGGAGTTAGTCCGTTTGCACAGGCCGTACGGAAAGATGTGCACACGTGAAAGGGAAGGTGTCCGGAAACGCGCAAGGGAGGTGGCGACGAAATTAAGGTCAGGCCCCCGGTAGGAATTCCGACCACAAGTAAAGGGGTATCTGACTGTAGGATACCTGCAAGGCTGGCACGTCGTTGTGATGGATACTAAATCGATTGGGCATCCACCTTTTGCGATCAGAAATGCTACTTTCGTGGCGGTGGCCGCGGCGAGAGGGGAGCAAGAGGGCGGGGGGATAATTTTCGTCGCCGCATATAGATCTGGAAGTGCGGTGGTCGACTCACCTCTACGCCCCAATCCATCATGGCGTCTGTCAGATCCGCGTAGCGTTCGACCAGTCGCTGTTTGTGCTTGTCATTTTCGCTTGCCGCGTTGTCATCATCCCCGGAGTCAGAGTCTAGCTCGGACGAAGAATCGGAGGAGGATGAGGCCTCGAACGCCTCGATAGCCAGCTTGCACCGTGCCGCCGCCTGTTTCGCGAACGTGGTCAAAACCGAGGGCTTGCTGGAGACAAACATAAACCTTGCATGTGGACGTACTCTGACACGCTGTTGACGCTACGTTGTAATGCAACGTAGGGATTGTACCCAATTGAGTTTCTTCCCTGTGGTACCCGTGGCTCGCGACTAACCCATTTTCGTTTATCGAAAGGACCAGCCCCACAGGTCGAACAACCCGGCCGTTCAACACTCGAAAACAGATAGACCAATTGGTCCTCGTGGTTTGATAAGGCACCCGGTAGCTCGGCCGATCCCTCTCTTAACAAAGAACCTGAGGTCTAAACAGCTCAAAACACCCCCGGTACGGGCGTTTAGATCGTGCGTACCTGGCAATAGGCAGCAAGTGATCTCTCTGTCGGAACAAAGTCGATTGCAGCCGTGGCTGCAGGACCATGTTGGTGAACCACTCCAGCACCACCATCACCGCCGTCCGCCCCCCGCTTTGGCTCCGCCGCCTCTTCTTGAATTCCCTCCAGAAAGCCCGCCTCCGCCGCCGCTTCCCCGGCCTCTTCCACCGCCGATAAAGACACTCCGTCTTCCTCCGGAACTTCTTCGTGCTGCTCCGGCCAAGGCTGGAGCTGCTCTTCTTCTCGCTCTTGGTCATGTTGTTCAGTTTCATTCGGCGAGGAACCTGTGATTCCCGATCCCTCGAGGTCGACCAGACCAGAATCTTCTTCTTGTTTCGTGTGGACCGTTGCCGAGCTTGGCGGCCCCGGGGGGGAAATCTCGCTTCCATCTTGAAGGTCGGAGGTGGAAGCGGCACCTTGCAGCGGCGGCCGAGTGGGGACCGTTTCCCCGTCTAGTGCGTTTCCCACCAGGGTTTCCTCCACCGCTGAGGTATCGCCGGGAGCACCATCTTGCCGTTGACCCATCCCCGTGACGTCAGATTGTTCAACGGCATCGTCTTGAGTGCCGTTGCCGTTCCCTCCCGGGTGTTGTTGTTTTCTAGCCCCGTTGTTGCCTTGCGACCGGTCTTGAGCAACAACGTTGGTGTCAGAGACCTCCACCCCCTTCGCCGCTGGCTCCTCTTGAGAATTCATGCTTTCCGACGTTCTGTCAATCAGCAGCGGCGGCAGACCAGCTTCCGACGACGACTCCGCCGAGCGAATCTGCTGGCCGCCCCCCTCCCCCCCGGAACTCTCGACCGCTTCCCTCTGTGCCGAGCTCCTACTGTTCTTGCTACCGCTGATGCTGTTACTGCCCTTGCTGCTGCGAACACTCCGGCGACGCTGCTGCGAGAAAGAGGCTCTGCTGCTCCGACTTGACCGTCCCTTATGCTTGTCGTCGCCGTCGTTGCTACTACCACCGCCACCACCCCCCGCTCGCGGCAACACCGAGCTCCGGCGGCGGCCACCACCGCGTGAGGAAGGCGATGGAGGCTTCGACCCTCCTCTGCCGAGCCGCCGTCCCCGCGCAGCGGCGGCCTGCCCTTTGGGCGACCTCTTCTTCCCGCGGCTGTCCCCGCGAGCGTTGGCCACCTTGTCGGACAGCTCTTTGAAGTTTTGCGCGGCTTGGACCTGCGAGGTGCCTGCGTCCGGTGCGGCCACGACCTGCGTGTACGTCACATGGGGCGAGCAGCAGTGGAGGCTGGTATGGTAGGGGGGACGCATACAAAATCAGTGTTTTGCGAACCAGGAAACGAATAGAATAGATGGGTGGAGTAAGCAAAAGCGACGTCGGCGAACGAGGTATAGAAACGGCGCACAAGAATCGGTTGTCCGGCTTTCATCTTAGTTTTGCTTCCACTGCAGAACGATTTCATGGTGCCGTTGGACTAAGTGCAAGTCGCGCTTTTATTCGGCAAAACCCGCTTAAAAGATTTTTTCTCCAAAGAAGTACGAACAGGAACACTTGGATCTCTAGAACCGACATGGTCAACGAAACCGCAACACACGATAGTATGGGACTACGCCTGGAAGCGGCGCGCAAGTCTCGCTTGATGGAGGGTACAGGAAAGTACACGTGTGTTCTGCCCGCCCGCCCCAAACTTTTCTCTCTAGTGCAACGTTTCCAGATGGCGATGACGTTCAAATCGCAAAATTAGCACATCTTTACAAAGAGCAGTGTTTATTCGGTTCGATACAACGGTGTTGATGTTCGTTGTCATGCAAGAATGCAGCAGCACGATCCTTTCAACGGCGTGCTCTCATCCGCTCCCCCGATAGGCTTGTGCCATTTGCCACCGCAATGACGGTGAAAAACGGATAACCCTTGCATTCCTAACAGAGTCTCTTCAGCTTGAAGTCTTATTCACAGTATCCTCTTCAAAATACATCATCACTCCCGAAACATTGGCGGGTTGCCTACTACAACACTTTCGCGGTTGGGCACAACCGTTTACTCTCACGAAATATTTTGTTTCATGTCTCCTGGCTAACAATCACAATCAGTATTAATTTCGCACCTTGTCGGCCAGCGCCCGGCCTTGGCGGATGACGTTCGCGTGCTCGGCGAGCTTCCTTTGAAGGGAGGCGATGTCGGCCGCCATGACATGGACACGGTGTTCTGACGATTCCAGCTCGCTTTGAGCTGCCAGTTGCTGGAAATTACGAAGGACAGCAGTAGCATCATCGGAAACCAAGATGGACCAGTGGTGAAACGGTCAGCTGGGTGAGTGAGTGGATGAAGACACCCGCGGGAGAAGAGAAGAAAAAAAGGTGCGGTCATCGATAGGCGTTCCTCTCTTCACTACGCCCTAAAACAACCGTGCGTCGCTTTTCTAACTCATCCAGCTTGTTCCTGGTTTGAGGATGGCTGACATGGTAGATGAGTATTATTGGGGCTATTCGAGCGGAGAGACGAGCTGCTTATCGCGCATCGGATGACACACCTCCCCACTACCATAACCATGCACAGGAAAACACCGTTCCCTTCCTCCGAACGAACCCCATCTGAGGCAATAGTCAATAACTACACATCACCGACGTGAGGGAGTGCGTTCATCTCGAATATGTTCCGCCTTTGCGACTTATCGGTGGTCTGCCGGGAGAACAGTATATCAACCCTCCTGCGTGGAATACCTGGCGAAACACCAAAACCTACAACTTCTGTTCCTTTTTTAGCAGGCCTAGAGGCTGAGTTGTGGTCTGGTAGTCATCGTGCTTTTTTACAAGGTGGTCAACCTCCACACGTCCACGGAGTTTGACATTGGCCTCCGGATGGCGTTGGACAACACCTCAAGAGGAACGAGGGTCGACCGAGCCGGGGACTTTCCGAACCCGGGATAGGACTCCTCTACGATGGCAGCGAAGTTTGGAAGAGGGTCATGGAGGGCGTGGCGGTGGCGGCGCGGCGCCCACCCGGAGGGTGGGGATGGAGGCCCCACTTTCCTCCGGCAGCAGCCATCTACCCCGTGCGGCAACAAGCCTCGTGCACGCGTGACGGACAATGAGAGCGAAACAATTGCTTTCCACCGAATCTTTTTTTTTTGTAATCACATATATTCTCTGTTGCAGTCGGTCTTTTGGACCTCACCCCGTGCCGCAACAAGGCGTTTGGTTCACGCGTGACAGACAACGAGCAAACTGCTTGTTGTCCACCGCGGTACGGACAGATATAGAGGTTGTGGATAGAGAGAGGTCGGAACAGTTTTATAATATGAAGACACCAGCTACCGCAGTTTATTTTCTTTTTAATCAGGTACTTCTATTCTGGATTGGACGACGTCAGCCTTTTAGACCTTTCGGTGTACAGTAGAGGTCCCTGTTAAGTGCCAGTATGCCCAGAAAATTCACCAGCACTTACCCGACACCCGCGCTTTTCAGAACAGAGATAAATAGGTTTTAGCATGGGAGTGGACACTCGTGCCCAGAGATGTGCCCGACACTAACCCGGGCATCGGCACTAAATAGGGACCCTACTTCAGTACGATTTCTGGACGCACCAGCCGGTGTCAGTCACATTGTACAGGACAAAAACGGCGGTATCCGAGCACGACATGAGCCAGCCGAGAGGCGACACCGTGTTGGCACCGCCTTCCCGCTCCCGAACTCCCTCCATCACGCGACTTTAAACAGGACCGAACGCATCCAACCTGGCGTGTTAAGTGCACTGCCGGTTGGATACGGTCGGTTCTGTGGACACTCGAGTATTTGAAGGGGCTTGGGAGTGGTAAGGCGGTGTCAACACGGTGTCGCCACTCGCCTGCTTCGCATGGAAGCCCTCGCTAACACAGGAAGTTTTTTGTCCGCCTGCGGTTGCGATTTTTGCGATATTTTTGTTCACTCCAGAGCAAGAATCGAACTCCACCCGGTAACTAGTGCGGGGTTGAGCACTTGAACAGCGTGAAAACACTAGTGATGTCTACGTTCGTTCGGTTCGGAAAAAAAATACATTCGTCACGCGTCTTGGTGTGGAGACCTATTATGCCAGATGACGAATGAAAGGTGCGTGACGGAATAAAAAAAGAGGAAGTGAAGAAGATCAGCATGTTAGCCTGCTTTGTCAAGGGAAGACAAGCATCGAAAAAAAAACAAAATGGCGCGTTCGCCTTCTTTGTCGATCAGGGGTGGGCGAAGATACACGCATCGCAAGAAGAAAAAAACAAAGCGTCGCGGCGTTGTTTGTCAGGGGGGCGCGGGGAGATACGCATTGAAAATGCAGAAATGCCCCCATCATCACGTGCGTTTCTACGATCGAGGATGGCCTTAGATAGCGGTGGGGGATTCCGAGACAAGATGACGTGGCACCACGGTAAACATTGGATGAGTACCACATCACCTGGGGCTCCGGACATTGCCCCTTTTTGGTGTAGAGGGACGGACCCTTCTGCAATTAATTGTAAATAATCGAGAGGACATGTTCTTCGTACGGCGCCGAGTAGTATTACATGCATTTTCCATGGCCATCACAAAACGATTTTGACTCTCCTATATGCGTACTTTCTCTCGCATATGAATTTTTTATGGCCGTCACAAAACGATTTTGACCCTCCTGTATGCGTACCTTCACTTGTATATCGATTCTCTTAGATCGTCGCCACCACTATGTATGCAACAGAGAAAGAGAGGAGAAGAATCTTGTAGTGAGTACACATGACCCTCCTACTTTCTTTTGCGGTTCTTGCGCATATTCAGTTATGGTGAGGATGATTCAGAGGCTGGTTGCCTTGAGCACCCACCAACTGACCGTTTTCCGGTTGTTTGGCAAGTTTCGAGCCTCTCGCTCAAGTGCAAAACACCGCTTTACGCACGATCGCTTAAGCTTGCCGATTCGTCCATGTTCTCTCATGAATAGCGCAATGACATCATTTGGGACCGTGACAGAAATCACGGATAAGCCTAGATTGCTTATGAGAGGTCGAGGGCAAGCCGAGGATAGGCCGAGGATAGGCCGAGGATAGGCCGAGGATTAGCCGAGGACAACCCGAAATTGATGGGGATAAGCCGAGGTTGCTGACAATAAGCCGAGGAAAAGCCGACCTTCATGAGTATAACCCGAGGTTGCTGAGGATAAGCCGAGTTTTGGTGCAGATAAGCCTAGATTCCTGAGGATGAGCCGAGGATACTGAAGATAAACAAGGATAGGGATAAGCCGAGGGTGATGAGGGCAAGCCGAGGTCGCTGAGCTTCGAGGTTGCTGAACTTCGAGGTTGCTGACAATATGCCGACGAAAAGGCAAGTTTGATGAGGACAAGCCGAGGTTGCTGAGGATAAGCTGAGGAAAAGCCGAATTTGATGAGGATAAGCCGAGGTTGCTGAGAAAAAGCCGAGGAAAAGCCGAGCTTGATGAGGATAACCCGAGGTCGATGAGGACAAGCGGAGTTTGATGAGGATAAGCCTAGGTTCCTGAGGATAAGCCGAGGATGCCGCAGATCAAACAAGGACAGGGATAAGCCGAGGTTGATGAGGACAAGCCGAGGTTGCTGAGGATAAGCCGAGGTGAGAATAAGCCGAGTTTGCTGAGGATGAGCCGAGGTTGCTGAGGATAAGCCGGGGTTACCAAAGAAAAAGCCGAGTTTGCTGAGAGTAGCCGAGGTTACTGAGGATAAACCGAGGAAAGCCAAGCTTGCTGAGGATAAGCCGAGAGTGATGAGGACAAAACGAGAGTGATGAGGATAAGCCGAGGTTGCTGAGGAAGTAAGCCGAGATTGGTAAGAATACGCCGAGATTGATGAGGATAAGCCGAGGATACTGACGATCGGCAGAGATTGCTGAGGATACGCCGAGGTTTCTGCAAATGAGCCGAGATTGATGAGGATAAGCCGGGGTTGCCAAAGATAAAGCCGAGGTTGCTGAGCATAAGCCGAGGTTACTGAGGATACGCCGACGTTCCTGCAAATGAGCCGAGAGTGATGAGGATACGCCGAGGTTGTTGAGGAAATACGCCAAGATTGATGAGGATAAGCCGAGGTTGATGAGGATAAACCGAGGTTGCTGAGGATAGGCCGAGGTTGCTGAGGATACGCCGACGTTCCTACATATGAGCCGAGATTGCTGAGGATAAGCCGGGGTTGCCAAAGATAAAGCCGAAGTTACTGAGGATCAGCCGGGGTTGCCAAAAATAAAGCCGAGGTTGCTGAGGATGAGCCGAGAGTGATGAGGATAAATCGAGGTTACCGAGGATAAGCCGAGGAAAAGCCGAGATTGATGAGAATAAGCCGAGGTTGCTGAGGATAAGCCGGGGTTGCCAAAGATATAGCCGAGCTTGCTGAGGATGAGCCAAGGTTCCTGAGGATAAGCCGAGGTTACTGCGAATGAGCCAAAGGTGCTGAGGATAAGTTGAGGTTGTTGAGGAAATATGCCGAGGTTGCGGAGGACAGGTCAAGGTTGCCGAGAATGAGCCGAGGCTGCTGAGGATGAGCCGAAGATGCCGAAGATAAGCCGAGGATAAGGATAGACCGAGGTTGCTGAGGATAAGCCGGGGTTGCCAAGGATAAAGGCGAGGTTGCTGATGATCGCTGAGGATGAGCCGAGGGTGCTAAGGATAAACCGAGGTTACTGAGAATGAGCCAAAGGTGCTGAGGATAAGCCGAGGTTGTTGAGGAAATATGCCGAGGTTGCTGAGGACAAGTCAAGGTTGCCGAGAATAAGCCGAGGTTGCTGAGGATGAGCCGAAGATGCCGAAGAAAAGCCGAGGATAAGGATAGACCGAGGTTGCTGAGGATAAGCCGAGCCTGTTGAGAACAAGCCGAAGAAATGATAAGCCGAGGATACTGAGGTGGCCGAGATTGATGAGGATAAGCCGAGATTGGTGAGGATAAGCCGAGGTCACTGAGGATAAGCGTAGATTGATTAGGTCAAGCCGAGATTGATTAGGATGAGCTGAGATTGATGAGGATGAGCCGAGGGTACTGACGATCAGCCGACATTGCTGAGGATACGCCCAGGTCCTGATCAACCGAGATTGATGAGGATAAGCCGAGGCTACTGACGATCAGCAGAGATTTCTGAGGATAAGCCGAGGTTCTGCAAATGAGCCGAGATTGATGAGGATATGCCGAGTTTACTGACGATCAGCCGAGATTGCTGAGGATACGCCCAGGATCCTGCAAGAGCCGAGATTGATGAGGATAAGCCGAGGTTACTGAAGATGAGCCGAGATTGATGAGGATTAACCGCGGTTGCAAAGGATAAAGCCGAGGTTGCTGGGGATGAGCCGAGGGTGCTAAGGATAAAGCGAGGTTACTGAGAATAAGCCGAGGAAAAGCCGAGATAGATGAGGATAAGCCGAGCTTGCTAATAACAAGCCGGGGAAAAGGATAAGCCGAGGATACTGAAGACAAGCCGAGGTTGATGAGATAAGCCGAGATTACTGCGAAGGAGCCGAGTGATGGGATAAACCGAGATTGATTAGTTGAGCCGAGGGTACTGACGATCAGCCGAGATTGATGAGGATACGCCGAGTTTGCTGAGGATACACCGAGGTTGATGAGGATACGCCGAGGTTGCTGCAAATGAGCTGATATCCATGAGGATCAGCCAAGGTTACTGACGATCCACCAAGATTGATGAGGATGGGCCGAGGTTCCTGCAAACGAGCCGAGATTGGTGAGGATATGCCGAGGATACTGACGATCAACTGAGATTGGTGAGGATAAACCCAGGTCGCTGAATAAGCCGAGATTGATTAGGATAAGCCGAGGTTACTGAGGATAAGCCGAGATTGATGAGGATAAGCCGAGGTCGCTGAAGATAAGCCGAGATTGAATTTAAACCGATTACGTGAAGCCGAGATCGATGAGGACAAACCGAGGTTGATGAGGATACGCCGAGGTTGCTGAGGGAATACCGAGGTAAGTGACGATCAGCCGAGGTTGCTGCAAATGAGCTGAGATTCATGAGGATAAGCCGAGCTTCCAACAAATGAGCCGAGATTCATGAGGATAAGCCGAGGTTACTGACGATCAACCGAGAGCGATGAGGATAAGCCAAGGTCGCTGAAGACAAGCTGAGATTGATTAGGATCATCCGAGGTTGATGAGGACAAGCCGAGGAAAAGCCGAGATCGATGAGGATAAGCCGAGGTCGCTGAGGATAAGCCGAGGTTGATTAGGTTAAGCCGAGATCGATGAGGACAAACCGAGGTTGATTAGGATACGCCGAGGTTGCTGAGCGTAAGCCGAGGTTGATGAGGATGAGCCGAGGAAAAAGATAAGCCGAGGATACTGAGGATGAGCCCAGGTTGCTGAGGATAAGCCGAGATTGATGAGAATAAGCCGAGGTTACTGGCGATCAGCCGAGATTGCTGAGGATAGGCCAAGGTTGCTGAGGATGAGCCGAAGATGCCGAAGATAAGCCGAGGATAAGGATAAACCGAGGTTACTGAGGATAAGCCGGGGTTGCCAAGGAGGAAGCCGAGGTTGCTGAGGATCGCTGAGGATGAGCCGAGGGTGCTAAGGATAAACCGAGGTTACTGAGAATGAGCCGATAACAAAGAAAAGCCGAGATAGCTGATGATAAGCCGAGCTCGCTGAGAACAAGCCGAGGAGAAGAAAAAGCCGAGGATACTGAGGATAAGCCAAGATTGATAAGGACAAGCCGAGGTTACTGCGAATGAACCGAGTGATGAGGATAAGCCGAGGTTGCTGAGGTAATAAGCCGAGATTGATTAGGATAAACCGAGATTGATGAGGATAAGCCGAGGTTGCTGAGGATAGGCCGAGGTAGCTCAAGAATCGTATTTGGTTCCGAGCAGGTCAACTTCCTTGCCTGTTCCCGCGCGTTCTCCACCTCTGCTGATCGCTCGGCAAGGCTTTGCCTCAGCACCGGACACTCGAGACACTCCGTCGAAGAAGAAGACGAGCTAAGGGATGACTGGGCTGACACCTCGCCTCGTGCCTGACATGTTTGGGAGGAAGAGACCGAGCACAAGGTGTTGGAGGAAAGTGATCGGGATTTAAAGGAAAGTTATCGGGGATTGGTTCTATATGTACGAAACACTGTTTGGGCCAACGGTAGTTGTGTGTTCGGGAACCACTGAAATACACGAACAGCTCTCGGACGACGGGTTTAGCGTGAGCCTTGTCCTAGTTCAGTTCTAGCCAACCCGTAAATGTCAGCAACAAGATGAAATAATTCGGGTCGTTTGCTCTTCGGGCACCAAGTCAATCTTCACCCTCTCTCCTTCCCAGACCATATTTGCGACGCGTCAAAGCTCAACAGAAGTTACAATACGACTGCGATGGCCAGCTCAGGCCCTGCTTCAAAACCTACGAGGTGAGTCGAACGATTGTGCAGCACCGGCTGGGTGGGTGGGCCTACCGAGATATGCCTGTCGCCGAACGTCCTACGAGCCTCCAAACAACGTGTGAATCCATGAGACAACAAGATTCCCAAGTAGTATTTCGCCTCCACCAGCATCGCTGCCATAAAGTTCGTCCGAAATACGTGCACGTTCTTGAGTGAAATCGGGTACGTCACTCACGTACTCGTCGTCCCGAACCCGCATGAGCTTGTGCAGCAGCTTCTGGTGGTCGTCTTCAAACGCGGCCGACGGCGCGTCTTCGTCCAACAGCTTACCCAGCAACGCCTCGCCGTCGACGGACTCGTACCGATCACGCCCGCGCCCGTCCGCGCCGGCATCGGTGGAGGATGCGGTGCTCGTATCACGACCGCTCGACCCCCGGCTGTCGGTACTGCGGTGATCAGCATCATCGTCATCTTGGACTCGGTTTTCCATCCGCTCCCCATGTTCCATCACCTCATCACCCTCCTCCTTCCCTCCCTCCTCCTTCCCTCCCTCCTCCTTCCCTCCCTCCCCCTTGCTCGTGGCACTAGTGTCCTTTGTTTCCCTCGTCTCCACGATGCTCGAACCGGCAACCTGTTCTTCCCTCTCGGGTTCAAGCACGCCATCACCTCGAGGATCTTCCACCGTCTTCGGTCTCTTCGCCGGCACCATCCCGTCCGTCTCTTCCATGATGGCAGTGGTACAGGCACTCCCACCTTGGTCGGCACCGTTGTCCAACCCCTCCGCGACCTCCTGCGCCTGAAGCGTGCCATTCGATTCCTCTTCGGCAGTAATACCTTTCGGTTTATCTTCGGCAGTAATACCATTCGATTCCTCTTCGGCAGTAATACCTTTCGATTCCTCTTCGGCAGTAATACCTTTCGATATATCTTCGGCAGTATTACCTTTCGATTTATCTTCGGCAGTAATACCTTTCGATTTATCTTCGGCAGCAGCAGTGCTTGGAGTCTCCGCGGCCTCAGCGAAGGGTGCTTTGCTCGGTTCAGGTTGCTCGACTGCGGGATTTCCATTGTTGCTCTCGGCGTCGCTGCTGTCGCTGTGCTGTTCTAGCGCGACGACGGGAGAAACGGCAACATCGGCATCGTTTGTCGCTGCCACATCGTCATAGTCGGCCTGCGTCCCGCCGTCCGACGTCTCGACCACAGGTTGTGTGGGACCGCCTCCAACCTGCGCCCCGCTGTCCACGCTCGCTTTTCTTGAAGCACCAACACGGACGTCACTAACTCCCACGGTGGCCGCAGTGTCAACAAGAGGAGGAGGGCTGTTCGAAGCTGAAAACCCTGTCGAAACGAGTGTCGCGCGAGACCCCGTTCTGACTTCGGCGATGGCAGGCGAAGGTGGACGCGGGCTCGTGTTCGAGGACCTGTTGACGCGTTTTGGTGATGACCTCGGCTTTGCACCGCCATTCTTCGACACGGCAGTGCTTCGGCCGGTAGAGTGGGGACGCCGTTCCTCCGGGCTAGCCGTAGGTGCTCCCAACGACAACGGCGTTTCCGCAGGAGAAACGATCCGCCGCCGCGGCGATAATCGCCTCGAAGACGACGGTCTTGTTCTGCCAGAAGTGGCGAGTCGGCCCGCCTGTGATCGATTGCGGGGTAAAACAGTACGAAAGGGCGAATCGTCGACCAACGAAACAGGCCCGGCCCATCGACGGTGAGACGGCGTTCATGCCAACGACAAGTTGGATCGAAACAGGGCTGCTTTGCACCGGACGACACCCGGGTCAGCATTCCTGTGTCAGTGTTACTACGCAAGTAAATTGCTGTTGATGCGTTAAATCGGACACCCCAGGTCGATATTTCCTCTCACCATTGCGCTATTTTGCTTGGCCTGTTCGGCCAACAGTCCCGCCAGGTGCTCGTATCGGCGGCGCCACGTCCCGGTATCATCGGCGACGACGGTCGGTGGCGGTTCTTCTTCGGCTGCTGCATGAGGAGAGGGGGAAGCAGCGATAGCAACCACCTCCTCCTGTGGAGGTGGGTTCGCTTCGGCGGCTTCGGCGTGCATTCCTTCAGCGGCCTCAGCCATCTCCTCCTGGTGTTGCTGCTGCAGGCGGGCTTGCTGGTCTTCTTGCCGTAGAGCCCCAACTTCTTTCCGTAGCATGCGTACTTGGACCTGTTTATTGTTGTAGCAGGCAAAAAAATACAGTCGGGCTATACAAGTGTGCGAATGAAAAGGACAAGGTGCACCGTGAAACAGACCAACATGGAATCGGAACCAAGACGCCGGCGAAATCTTGTACACACGATGGCTACGTTCCTTTGATAGCATGCCAAGGTTCCGTCCTACCGAAAGTGAAGTTGAGGGGAAGGCTCAGAGGATGACACACCATAACAGCTCCAAAAACTACGCTCTTGCCACTTACGTTCTTGTCGCTACGTATCTGCCGCTAGAGAACGCGGGGTGAATACTTCTGGAAATCGTGGGGTAGAATAGGCAATACGACGACAAGAAAATGGATGCGTGATTCGAGAGGCACCCTAGACTCACAAGGTGCTGCTGGAGCTCGTCCACTAGGACCGCCTTTTCTTGGGACAGCGCCGCCGCCTTCGCCCGTTCCTCTTCGGCAGCTTCCTGCTCCAGCGATACCTTGTTCGATGCGGTTTGACAAGGCACGACAAGACAGAGCAGGTTAGAGCAGGGCAGAGCTGGACAGAGCACAAGGATAGAGCAGGACAAACAGCGAGAGAAATTATAAGCCGAATCAAACTCCACATCACCTCGAAGCTATGTCATTTGTGTACACTCTGAGAGCCGGGAATATCCTGCGCAAGGATGAAGAGAGCATGGCAGTATGCTGCGTCTGGGATACCTACTGATTATTCGAACAGGTTTCACCGAACTCGGGAGATTCGCGTCACGCTGATCAAGCGTGGAGTTTAAAAACGTTTCACACACCACGTAGGTGCGAAGGAAAAATAGCCATACAATGTGTTATGTGCTCAATACGGACTGCCCAGAACCTGCTGAGAGTCGCATTATCTCCGTGTTGGTAGATAAAAGAGTTTATTTTTTCCTTCAATGCCATTGCCAAAAGTACCAGCCGACCCATACCTGTTTCTCGGCCTCGCATGCCCTGATCCGACCGACAAGGGCCTCCTTGAGCAGCACGGATGACGAAGCTATGGCCCTCTCCAGAGCGGCGGCCAAGGCTCCCTGGATGCTCGACGCTGTTGGGTGGAGTTTCGATGACACACAACAAGGTGAGCTGCACGCCGACCGACTGTTTTCGTTCCCTCGTAGGCGGGCAGAGAAATATTCAAGAGTAGGCAACCTTCGAACCGGGATTCTGTTGCTTGTTGACTGACGGATCAAGCCGTGACATTCAATGGCTGATCAGGAGAGTGTTATTGGTTCGGCTTGGCGTGAGGGCATGCGCACCCACTACAGCAGTCATCTCTTTGCTCTACGCCTTCGGCCGTAGTTCATCTGAGTCGCGTCCTGTCAACACACACAATGCGTTCCTTCTGGGTCTATCGCTCTGTGACTCCCCCCCGGGCCCCTCCCCTTCCACCTCCAAGGTGATGCATGGTCAAGAAAGATGTACGGTGTTTTTCGCAGCCCGATACACACGCGCACCCACGGTGCGTTTCTACTACCGATGAATTATCAACAGTCCAAATATGATCGCCTCCTGCTTATTCTTATCCTCACCATCGTCATCCGTGATCGTCTTCGTCCCCTCCAAGATACTCTCGACGCACGACAAGCCGTCCCCGCAGCAGTCCACGACATCGGAGAACACCTTGTCGGCCTTGTCGCAGTGGCGTTGGGTCTTCAATCGCACCGACCAGGACGCGAAACACGAGTTCATCGAAATATCATCTTCGGATGCCTCTGGAACAAACTCAATCATAGATATGCTCATCGTCTCAAAATGTGCATGTGCGCATACTGTGGTTGGCACCACCCCTTTATGCCTACGGGCAGTTTTTAGTACCAAGAGCGCTTGGTGGCCCCAACACGTAAAATCAAATGAACTTCGCTGACTATACTTGGCGGCTAGATTTAACCCCTCCATGCGTCTCGCTCACCACGCCCGCATCCTTCGCCTTTCTCTTAAGCTCTCCCAGTCCCTCTTTCTCCTGACTCAGGGCTCTGTCCACCAGCCCGTCGTAGTCTACCGGCTGCAAAATATGGACTTCTTCCGAAGTATCCTGTGACGGTGTCGTGGTCTCAGCAGCAGGTACCTCCGTCGCCTCCGACGGGGGGAGCGGCTCCGGGGGCAGCGAGGCCGTAGCGTCCGCGAGTGCTTTGGCCGTAGCTGCGGATCGGTCAAGAGCCTACGTGTAGCACGGAAATGCGAGTTGTTTGAACAGAAGGTCGGTTTGCTCAGGCGACAAAGAGAGGGCTGATTGCTGAAAAGGTGGTGGGGGTATCGCCTTGTTCGCCCTTCGGCGCCAGCGACCGTGGCTGAGCGATGGCCGCCGACACCTAGATAGGCAGACAACTTCCGTTGTGGATACCCCCAGCAACCGCACCCAATACGCGACGACAGCATTCCAAGATGAAGACTCGCAGTAGCGGTGTGTTTTTTGCTTTTTGTTTCAAATACGGGTGTACATCCTTCGGCGGCACTGTAGCTCCAACTCCCAGAACAGCCATCGCCCTGTTGCGGTCAAGGTTGCAAACCATCGCCGCACTGCGCTTATTCTAAGCTTAATACCAGCCCCTGGCAAGAGTACCACCTGCACTTGTTCTTGCGTCTTTGCCAGCTCCGATCGCAGGTTCGAAAGCTCCGCGTTGGCCTCTGCGGCCGCCACTTCCTTCTTCCGTGCGTGCTCCAGCGCGGCCTCCAGCTCACCGACGGCCTTGCGGCGGGCTTCCACCTCTTCCGAGAGCTGCCCGCTGCTCTGCCTCCTGAGGTCGCGAATGGCCCCCCGGAGGCCCTGGATCCACCGTCCGTTGTGTTTTTTTTTGTTTCAAGACGATCAGATTGACTTTTTGGCTGGACTCTAACAACAGTATTTTTTTGGCTTGTCTCTAACAGCAACGAAAACACGTGGAGACAATGCACGATGGTCACACTGTTCAGCCTTTGTCAAGCATCAACTACCGTATGTCTGATACGTCCTTTGAGAAACGTCTACAGGGCAGCATTGGTTTCGTAATTAACCACAGGGGAAAGATATACTTAGCTACGGCATCAATCTCTTCGTCCCCTGCCACTTACCTCTTCCACGGCGTCGGGGGAGGGGCTGTTGACAACCGTCGTAGCTTTCTTATTCTTTTCCTTCTCCAGCTCCGCGCTCAGGGTTTGCAGGTGGGTGGTAAGCAACTCGTTCTCACGCTAAGCACCATCCCGGGCCGGGGGGGGTCGAAGGGACCGCAGGCGGTGGCCGGGGGGCAGCGACAGTTAAAGCTCAATGAAGTGCACCGACATGAATAATCAACCGCGTTGTTGGCAATAGAAAACATTTCACTGTGAACGATGGTGTGGACAGTAAGCCCTGAGAGGGCTGAGACATACTCGCGCGGTCCTTACCGTGTTATCAACCGAGCGATGTCACCCCATTCCTGACACGTTTTCGAGGCAGTGCTTTCTCCGCGCATGTCCATCTTCCATGTCATTATGGTACACACTCGGGGTTGTTAAAGGAAGGTGCTTTCTCAAACCAAAACCATGACACGCCTCGCACAACAGCAGTGACACCTTTGATTCTGAGAGCGCCTTCTGGGCCTGCGCGGATTGTTCCCTGGCGTTGCGTAGCGTCTGCTCTGCTGCCGCGTTGTTGGAGCGATCGTCTCGGACAGACGCCGCGCTCGTCTCGCTCAACGTATCCAAATCACTCGGCGCATAGGTCTGTCGTTCGTCGCGTGGCACAAAATGCACACGCAACCGTTCAATGTTGATGAGACCAACGTGCCGAGGACGAGCGGGGGTCGTGTATTCAAAAGGAGGAGTATGCCAAACTGAATAGTAACCTGCCCGAGCACATGATTTCGTTGAATAATCTTGTTGCTCTTTTCTATGAAGCGAGTACGCGGTCACCAGAGCGAGAGAGAAAGA